TTTTTTTTTTTTTTTTTTTTTTTTAATTCTGGGCTACCATTGAGCAGGAAACCCAAGCTTAGTTGGAGACTTGTTTATTTTTGTTTAACCAGAAATTGTTAATGGGTAATCACTAATCCTAGTGATAGTTTTTTTTTTTGGGTAATATAAAAATGCTGCGGTAGAGGTATCATTGAGGAGGAAACCCAGGCTTAGTTGGAGATTTTTTCATTTTTGTTTAACCAGGAATTTTTAAGAGACATTTTCTATAAAGCATTAATAGTTTATTACATATCTTATTTTTGTGTACATCAACTTAGCATTCGCTCTCCCTTTATTTTTAATTCTATGTCCTAGTCACTTTATGACGCACGGTGGTAACATCAGCCATTCGTATATGCATAGATGGATACTACAATTTGTTATAACTCGTGCAGACATCACAAGCAGAAAAAGGGTGATACACTTGTTATACTCCTAGGAAAGCTGATAAACTTGATGGGCTGTGCAGAAAATTCATTTAAAGTTTAAAACCAAATGGAACCTAAATCGAAACTGAACCATACTTGATAAAATTAAATAATCAAAACTAGTCTTATACCAAACTGGAGTATATGTTAACAAAATGGTCTGCTAAGCCATACCACAAATACAATTGATTCCTCAAATAATTCAAATTCCTTTACTTTTTTTAATTCCAACCCAGTTTAGCTTCCTAATTTCAAATTTTATGTTCCGTAAACCCTTCCAAGTTGTTTGATTTGGGATTCTCAATTTCAGACAATTCATTTGCTAATTGCAATTTAAGTTCTCGTCTATGGGCCCTATTCTCTTTCTAACACTGCTTCACATTCGAACCACTGTTTCCATTTCATGCTTGTTTACGTTATTCTTGTGTGTTGCACATTGTAAGGTTCGATGAGTTCATATCTCTTTACTACTCTTGTTCAATTTGTAGAATCATATTTTACAAATTAGAATTAGATTTTAGTTTAGCTTTGCTTCTATTACCCGGGTCAGTTCCATGGCAGTTAATCTCACCAGGATAAGATGAGATATAAAGTTGAAATGATCTTTAGTTTTAAAGTTAATTACGAACTGGAACTAGATGTTGTGTTGTGATCCTGCAAGATGATAGAACTGGATCAAGACAAATTATAGGCAACATGCCTTATGTCTTTACACAAGTAACCTAAATAACTAACTTTCTTTACACTGATAGACCCTAATGCTGATAGACATCCAACAAAACACTAATAAACCCAATGTGTATGTCTCTATATCAAATGTCCCTACTCATGCTTATGGTTTTCTTTCCCACAAAATTACAAGGTTCGAGCATCATAAACATAAAAATAATAGAGGAAGGAAAAGGGAAACACTGAACTTCTCTACTAATTCAACAAGAAAACAAAATCTTCTTGGTGTATTTGCCAATTGTGATGTGAAAATCACAACAGGGATAAGCAATAAAAATATTAGGGAAGATCCTGTTTCCCCAGAATTTGCAACATATTTTACTAAAGTACATGGGCCCAACCTTTCTAGAAAGGATTTCCAGTTTTGATCCTTAACCGATGTCTTAATTCTCATATAATTAATGCTTAACATATCCACTTAAAATAGAAAATAGATTATGTGTCTTGTCATTGTGTGTGTATTAATCACAACGCATGTCGATGTTTGCTGGTGCAAATGCAACTTTTAAAAGCTTACGAATTGTCGTTATTCATCATAACTATTGGTGTCCTTTATTATTTTTTTAACTCTGAACAGATTGACCAGGACAAAAAGGTCGACCATTGACATCGGCCCGAGGCTTAAAGTAGCAGTTGAAGTAGCAATTGGCCTCTAGTATGAACCTCAAAGCAGCAAATATGTTGTTAGATACAGATGACTTGAATGCACGTATAAGGCGATTAGTGATTAACCTTCACAGATTTATGATTCAGGTTGGAACTATTTAACAGATTCCTAATGGTGGGATCTTGGGTTATCATGCACCAGTGTTGGCTGCCAACGAATGTCTCTTGTTATGTGTCTTATCTGTTAAAAGAGTGAGAAACATCCAACTGCATTCAATGTGGAAAGTTGACTTGGTAATTATTATTATGGGAAGGATGGAGTGGGTTGTTCGTGTATGTCTCTGTCCTTAAAAAATGCTGTAATGATTCATTTTCATTGAACCGAAAATAAAAGCCCTACTCAATTTGATTTTTACGGAGGTGACCTCCTCCCAATTCAAATTATGTGTATCATTCTGTCCAGGTATGACATGATTAATACATAATTTTGTCTCCCAAGTATGGTTAAGAATTCAAATCCTGATAAAAAAAATTTGTTGGAAGAGGTCAACATCTTGAATAGATTTTAGTATCTTGAAATGTTAGTCTTAAGTTTTTGGATAAAGGATATTTTGGTTTCAAAAAACGTGTATTATGGAGGCATGGAGCCATGTCTTGCTGTTAGCTGAATTAGTATATTCCGAATGAAATCAGAATGAACTAATTTTAGATCCGGTTTTGGGAAGAACCCAATTGTAAAGCCAATTTTGAAAATAAATAATAATAACAATAACAACAAAAACTGAAATTGGCTTAAAAACCAGTTTGGAAACTAGTTTTAGGTTGAGTTTTAGAACTAAAATGGCTAAGTAACCCGAGCATATTATGGCATAATTATGTGTATTTATAAATTAAAGAATGACATTTTTTTCACTTAATAAAGTTAAGTTAGCAATCTATTAACTAATCAATTGACATTGTTAAATAGTATTCATCATTAATAGTTTTGGCATTTAGAGTCAGATACATAACTTTACTCTCATGAGTGAAGATGCTTCTATTGCGATTAGAATCCTGGATCCAGAGTCCAAGACCACATTGGGCCACGCTCAATTACTGGGGAATTTTAGCACGCATATAATATTTAGATTCACAAACAATTGTCAAAACATTGAGCTCATATGGAGTGAGATAAAGCCCAAAAAAAAAAAATGCTACTGTGCTAGTATTCATTGTGAAGGGGCAACGGCCCATGTTGAATTGTTTCTTTTCAAAATTTAAAAGTAGTCAAAGTAGAGTACATATGTTGAATGTTTAGTATATCACTATTAAAAAAAACAATATATTTCCAAGAACTTTTGGAGACTATTTTATATTGAAAGGATATTAGATTGTCACCATAAGTGTTTTATGTTCTTGTATGGGAGAAAAAACTTTTCTCTTCATTTTATTATACTTTCTCTCCAACCAAACGATAGTTTAAACATCGTAATTCATGTTTTTTTTTTCTTTTAACCAAACATATCATTAGTGTTTATTTGCATCTCGTGTGAACTCCTAAATATGTATCTATATTTAGATTCATCATCCAGAAATAAAATTATTATTTAAACATAATGTATGCAAATTTGACTGTTAAATAAAGTTATGGACATTTTAAAATTGGGATACCAAAATTACATTATTAAAATAGAATACCAAAATTATTGATTAAGAATTAAAGAGACCAAAATACAATTTACCTAATTTTTATTTTAAATTTAATATATTGAATAATTTTGGTTAAGCATTGGTTTGGGAGAAATAATATTTTGAGGGCAAATAAAGACCTTTTATATCCTCTTCTAATTTAAAAGTTAACATATATAACAAGTTGATTTTTATAATAATTATTTTAAAATTTATATATATTACAATTTTTCATTAGTCGACAATAAATTATTTTACAATATCGGAGTATAAAAATTAAACTCAAAATATCCATGCTCAAACTAGTGTAATAGGTAATTTTCCCCTCTATTATAAATATTTTTTTTTGCTACTAAGTTTGAGTTCAGTTGTTATTCAAGCAAAGGGTGATCCTTAATGTAATGGAAAGGTTCTTATGTGTTATGACTTTATGAGTGATGGTTTAGATCTTAAAAATAACCTCTGCTTATGGGAACAAGGAATATTGGGCGCATAAACCTATGTATATATTATTTATCATCTCTAAAATATCGTGCTCTTGAAATTACAACAATGTTAGACATGACAACATGTGTATTAACAATAAAATATAAACCCTATTAGGTGAGAGCTTTGTGCACTGTGTCACACTTTGTTTTATTACTTGAACAATGAATATGTAAGGAGTGCACATCGCTGAAATGCTTTTGCATTTTGATTCCCAAGTGTTATGTTGATTTATTTATGCATATTTCTCTCAATCAAAGCATTAGGATGGAAGCCAGCTCACTCTATCTTCTTTAGAATATGCTTTTAATTTATTCTTATGAAGCATTAATCCTTTGTTTAATCAGAAGTGGAAAAAGAAAGAAAGAGAAAAAATGGACTTTAAAATTAAGAGAAAATTAAAACCTAAAATTTTGAATATTATTTTTATATTTTTCTTTATTTTTTATCAGCCAAAATGAGCAATCTCCCCTATTACTTTTCTCTCAATCTAATACAATGGTCATATATCTTTGTCTCACGATGATTTATTTTATTTTATTTTCCTCAATTTTTTTTAAAACAATCTTATTTAAATATATGATCAAATATCAAAATATAAATATTTTTACTAAAAATTATTAACTTAAGTAATTTTTTCATTTATACTATTTAATTAAAGACTAAAATTCAATCTTATTTTAAATAAAATCGTAACTGAAAGTAGTGTATATTTTTATAAAAATTGATGGGTAAGAAAGAATTATACTTATATATATTAAAAAAATATATATAT